TATCTCTATCTCAGTCTCTCTGTGTATATGTGTGTGTGTGTGTGTGTGTGTGTGTGTGTGTGTGTGTGTGTGTGTGTGTGTAGATCAGGGGCTGACATTAAGTGTCTTCCTCAATCACTCTCTACCTTACATATTAAGGCATAAGCTCCCACTGAACAGAGTTCAGTGACTCAATTTGGCTAGTCTAGCTAGAAAACTTGCCCCAGGTATTCCTTGTGTTCTCCCCTTGAGTCCTGAGATTATAGACAATCCACCATGTCCACTTGGTGTTTTACATGGGTGCTGGGAATCCAAATTCCTGTCCTCATACTTGCATAGAAATAATTTTACCCACTGAAACATCTTCCCAGGCCAAATTTTCTTTTATTTATTTATTGTGTATATATGCATGTGTTCTGTGTGTGTTTGCACATGTGTGTATGCATGTGGTAGCCAGAGGTGAATGTTCGGTGTCTTCCTCAATTGCTTTCCACCCTATTATTCTTATATTTTATTTATTCATTCTGGTTGTGCTCCGTGTATGTGTTTGGGTGTACATGTTTCATGGTGCAGATGTTGAGGTCAGAGGACAGTTTTTGGGAGTCAGTATTCTCCTTCCACCGTGTGGGTACCAAGGATCAAAGTCAGTTCATTGGTCTTGGTGATGGGCTCCTTTACCTTCAGAGCCATCACACTAGCCCTACACCTTAATATCTCTCACTGAACCTGGAGCTCAATGATTGCCAATGAGCACTGCCCCCCACCCCAAGGTCCTCCAGTCTCTGCTTCCTAGTATCTTTTAACATGGATACTGAAGCTTGCACAGCAAGGACTTTACCCATTGAGCAGTCTTTCTAGTCCCAACACACAATTTTTAGTGCTTTTAAAAATAACCGAAACGGGTCAATAAGAAAGAAGATCCAAAAGAATTGTTTGAGAGTTAAAGTGTGAAAAGAAATGTTGGCTCCAAAAGTCACCTGCACATGTAAATTTTTTTTTCAGAAACCTAATCCTCTTCTTCAATACTTAAACATTAGCAGAACTGACTCTCACTGCAGTAGCCAGCCTCTGAGATGACACCAAGATCTTATTGTTTTTGTTTAGTCTTCATGAGTCACAGTGGGCCTCAGGTGGCCAACTGAATTCAGTGGGAGTGATGTGTGGCTTTTGGGGTGAAGCCATACATGGCTTTATAGCATTTGCCTTGGTCTCTTGATCATTCACTTTTGGAGACCGAGCACAACATATGGAGTACCACTATACTGAGGAGATGGTGAAGAAAGCCCCTGAGATTTCATATAGAGTGATTTGTGACCAGCTTTCTGACTATTAAAGCTAGCCCAGCTTAGGCTATAGATGTACTATGGATCAACGTTAAGTTGCTGCTGTCAATTCCTGCCTAAAATGCAGATTCATGAGAAAAACTAGCAGTGTTTAAGCAATTACAAGTCATTAAGTTATCAATCAATAACTGAAATGCTCCTCCTCTTCCTTCCTCTTTCATTTGATGTGAAGTGTGTCCCCTCAGGTGGGTGCAGATGAACAAGGACATGTCTGGCCAACATGGGGAATTTTTCAGCTAACATTGTTAGAATTATTGACTCATTCATGCTGTAAAAATATATGGCTTCAGCCAGGCAGTGGTGGTGCACACCTTTAATCCCAGCACTCGGGAGGCAGAGACAGGTGGATCTCTGTGAGTTCGAAGTCAGTCTGGTCTACAGAGTGAGTTCCAGGACAGGCACCAAAACTACACAGAGAAACCCTGTCTCGAAAAACCAATATATATATAGCTTCAAATCTGTCTTCTGGGAAGTAACTATGTCACTTCTGTGGTCAAGACATAGGAGAACCAGAACTATCACTCAAGCTTAGGCATAAAGGTCAGGCATAAAGTCACAACTCAACATTGTAATACAGATGAACATGTATATAAAACTAAACACAAAGTGAAGCTTTCCACAGAAAGAAAAACAGGAGTATAAATAGTGGGAAGGGTCCAGGCAGAAAGAGTAATTGAACTTATGCCTATGCCTAGTACATATCTTTCCAGGACTTGTTCACCACGTACTTTTATAATATGTAACCCATTCCTGCCATTGCAGCAATCAGAACATGTGTGCACATCAATCTATAGACAATTAAATGGCCAGAAATTTGTCTGGCTATCTCCCTTCAGAATTTGAATTAACGTATAAGGAGCTCATTGTACACTAGGACAGAAGAGCCAGAAGGACTCAAGGTAGGATGGCAGTTGGCAGCTATGTATATGCTTATTAGTAAGTACAGAGCTGGTTTGCAAAATAAAAATCTTTATGAAAATTCATGGTGGGAGGAGCTAAAGAGAGACAGGGAGAAAAAAATAAAAGAAAGAGAGACACAGGCCTGGTGACAAAGGCCTGTAATCCCAGCTACTTGGGTGGCAAGGCATGAGGACTCAGTTTAAGGACTGTCTGGGTTACTAGGCAATTTAGCCAGACCCTGTCTCAAAATTTAAAGCATTTTCTAAAGGTATAGGGAGGTGCTGAAGATATAGCTTGGGGGTAGAACACTTTGCCTGGCATGTGCAAGGCCTTAGGTTCAATTCCTAGTACCTTTGAAGAAAAAGAGATAGAGAGGAGAGAGAGGGAGAGAGGGGGGGGAGAGAGAGAGAGAGAGAGAGAGAGAGAGAGAGAGAGAGAGAGAGAGAGAGAGAGAGAGAGAGAGGTCACTAATCCTACCTTTATTTATTAGCTTTTTCCTGGGTTTTCTTGGGTGGGTGGAGGGCCATGTGGAAAGGAGGAGACAGTGCCTCAAGTAGCCCAGGCTGGTCTTGAACTTCCCCCTGCTTCTACCTCTCAAGTGCTGGAAACATATCACCACACTCAGCTACAACTTGTATAATTTCAATTTAATTTTAGTTTAATATGATTTGGGGTTAGACTGACAATGGGCTGAGAGTTAATAGAGAGGAGCCTTAACTTTCAGTTTTATTTTAGGGTCTCTGAAAAAATTACAGATTGATTTGGGTTTTGTTTCAGGTTTGAGTTTCTCATGCACACATATTTCAAAGCAATGAGTTTTAGAAATTATTTCTCTAAAATAGTTTTATTTAGTAGTATCTTCATGTAGAACATTGTCCCTGAGGGACAGAGCTCCCATAGGCACCAGAAGGCTGAGGCACATGCATCCCTATTTCTTTATTTTAAAATAATGTATTTATTTGTATTTTATGTGCATTGGTGTTTTGCCTGCATATATGTCTGTGTGAGGGTGTTGGATCCTCTGGAACTGAAGTTACAGACAGTTGTGAGCGGACATGTGAGTGTTGGGGATTGAACCCAGGTCCTCTGGAAGAGCAGCCGGTGTTCTTAACCACTGAGCCACCTCTCCAGCCCCTGCACCTCTATTTCTTTATCTCTGACGAATTAGAGAGGAACAATATAAAGACAGGAAAAGGCTCCAGACAACACAGATTCTGGGTTTTTCTAGTACCTGCTCAATTACTGTCATCGTGGTCACAGATTCATCTCTGGATCTTGGCTTCTTATCCTGTACTATGCAGTGATCAAAGTTTTGCTATTCTATGAATATAAACCAGCAGCAAGGCTCTAATCCAAAACTATCCTCACATAGAACTTTAAACTGACACTAAAGAAAAAAGGTGTAATGAACAATCTTTACTGACCAAGATCTGGAACTTAAATTTCCAGTCATTTACAATTCTTAAGCACTGTATGTTTCTTCCTGATTGCGCAAAAAGGACAGGAAATGACATGGGGAACAATCTTAATGCCCAAATTAAGTCAGAGGCTCATTTAGAATCCACATTAAATGTGATAGGTGTGATAAAATAAAAAGATAAACAAATTTGAAATAACTGATCTGCATTAGATGTCCTATCATGATGATGAAATACTATACCTCAGAGAAATCAACTTACCTATTATGAAAGCAATACATTTGTATTGTACTAAAAGTCCACTCAAATACAACAAACATAATTGTGTATATCCTATATCCAGGCAAACTTTGTACCATTTGCTTTGAACAGATCTGATTGTTTATATGGCAGGGTTTATATTCTCTAATAGGCTATGTACTGCTTGAGTTCAAAAAATCCCTTTGTGGTAACTCCACATGTCTCCACCACCGCTACAACTGGGTCACTTTCTTTGGAAAGATATAGAGGAAAGGTTACATGTGCTTCTGTCATTAGATGCATGCAATCACTTGCTAAACATTTTATTGAGCACGTAGGCTGAGAAATTCAAAGATACATGCCCCTTTACGATATCATTTTGCTCTCAAATTCACTGTTCTAGTAAGGAAACAATACTCGGTTATTTTACTAGATAAATATCCAGTTTTGGAGAGATAAGTAGAAGTTTTTAGAAAACTCTCAAGGGGTTGGAGAGATGACTCAGTGGTTAGAAGCACTTGCTCCTCTTGCAGAGGTTCGGTCCCCAGCATTCACTTGGTGGCTTACAATTATCAATAACCAGATTTGAGCCTTCTCTTAACCCACAGACACCAGGCATGCACGACTTGACCAGAAGCTTGTGAGGCCTATTGAGAAGTGTGCTGAAGGGAGGAGTGAAGGACACAAATTTTAGGTCTTACAAATTCAGGGCTTCTTATGAAGAATTCTTTTTCTCTCGAGATTTAGGTCATAAAACAAGCCTACTATTCCACATGGCATCCCCTCCAGAGCTTAGAATTTAGAAACTTTGGAAACTTGAGCACCACGTTAGGGGAAAGGGACACAGGATAGCCCGACCCGATATCAGCCAGCTAGCACAGCCGAGTTCCCGGAGGGGCGGAGCTGGGGGCGGGGCAGGATAGACCTGGGGGCTGGGCCTCTGAGAGTGCACCACCGTCGCTAGCTCGGTCACTGACGTAGGCGCCAGGCTTGGATTGGTGAGTAAGTACTTCGGTCTGAGCTCATAGGTGCAGAGCAGCTTGCGGGACTTTGATTGGCTCAGTGACTGCTGACCGCTTATTGGCTTGCGATAGGTTGTCACGGCGACCGAGGGGTGGAAAAAAGGAGAAGGGTGTTGGGCCTGGCGGGAGTGCTGAGGGTTGTGGGCGGCTGGACTGCTCTCCTGGGCGGTGTCCGGGGAGCTGCTGGCCGAGTCTCCCTGGGTTTGCGCCACCCTCTGGGAGGTGTCCGAGTGCGTGGGGTTCACTAGCGAGACCCTTTGGCCGACGCCATGGGCTGCTGCTTCTCTAAGAGACGGAAGAGTGAGAAGGAGTCGAGGGCTGAGGGAGAGGAGGAGCAGCCCAAGCTGTACAGCTGGGACCAGCGGGAGAAGGTGATGTTTTGGGGGCTCCCCTACAGTCTTCCCCGACTGCCCCTCGGGGGGTCGCGAAGGAGCTGACTGCGAGAACGGGACAGCGAGGCGGGTGGCCCACAACTGCCTTTCTCTCGCGCGCTCAGGGAACTAAAGTCCGGTCGCAGGACTTTGGGGGCGGACTGTGAAGGGCTCAAAGGAGTTGGTGGTCTGCCTAGCCAGACCCCCAGAGCCTCTCCCTTGGCTCTGCACCCTGACTTCCCATCCCAGGATGAACTCCGGGGAGGGAAAGAGCTGGGAGGGTGCTGGATCTCCAATCAGCTCATTTCACCAGCAGGGGCCAAAGGGGTTTGGTCGAATTACACACACCAGACTGATTCTCATCTTTTCCGCGGCTTGTGTTCCTGAGCTGTTTCTCTTTTGTCTGCCCCTCCTGACAAATCGTTTTTGGTGCCTCTTGGTGTTTCTCAGTTACTAAATGGACTGTTTCATGTCCACCTTTGCTCTCCCTTCTCTTCCGTTTACCAGAAAGGAATAATGAAAATTGAGGCAGTCTTGGAATGTATTGTGTAAGGTGAAAGTACCCAACATAAACCAGGAAGTAGTTTATTATTGTTGCTTTATATGAATGAAAACGCCCTTATTTTTATCTCATATATAACTTGAACCCAAAACGGTTTGAAAAAGTCCCCTAATCTTGCACAAAACACACTTTTAGGCATACATTTCACAATGGTTCGTTCCTCTTTCTACATAGTTCTTCATTTCTGCCTAGTATAGTTGCTTAGTAAAACACTTTGATAGACATCTATTATTTTGGTTTCCCAAATAAAATGTGGATCTTTTTAAAATGGGTATCGGTTAACTATTGCTTAATGCAACACCTTTGACCAAAAAAAAAAAAAACAAAAAAACAAACAAACAAAAAAAAAACTTTATAGTAGGTCTGTTATTAACGTTTTGGTATAATGAAGCATCCTGAAGCATTTCAAATCACCAGCAGAATGTAGGTATTCATATAAACTAGATTTTCAAAGTGTTAGCTTTTAAAAAATGGAAGATTTTGGTGGAATTCTCAGGCTCAGCTTGCCTTTGACTCTGAAACCCTTTTTGGGCCATGTGGCCTTTTGTTCCTCTTCTCTTATAGCAGTATTTTGTCATATAGGAAAGTGGTCTATTTTCTGTTTTATGAGAAGATTGTACCTATCAAAGTTATTTGGTGGGTGGATTTTGAAATACTCATTTTTGACAACCTTGGGATTTCTAACAGTGCTGTTTAAATTTTTATCCCCAGTGCTGGGGATTGAACTATGCTAGGCAAGCATTCTACCACTGAGTGGCATCCCTAGCTAAACAATGAATGCTCTTTAAGCTTGAACTTCCTGCTCCAGAGAGTTGTTTTTTTAGCTTTTTGTTTCAAGGTCACAGGCTAAAACTAAAAGTGTGCTTTACATTTTTGTGGTAGTCTTGGTTGACTATAGCTCACTTTTTCACAATAATTGTCTTACAGCTAACTTCTACTAACTACTATTTTGAGACAAGGTCTCATGTAATTCCAATAGCCTTGAATGACTGACACTCCTGCCTCCATATTCTGATTGCTGGAATTGCAAGCATGCATCACCAATTCTGGTTAGAGACAATAGTTCGATATGTACCTCTGGCTAGCCTGTTACACATTATATAGCCCAGGCTGACCTTGAACTTCTGGCAATCCACCTGCCTCAGTCTACTGAGTACTGAAATTATGGGCTTGTGTTACCACCCCCTGGTAGTTGGGATTTTTCGTGTGGATGTGTTTTGTGATTTCTTTTTCTTGTGCTCTTTGTCTAAGTAAAAGTACTGAAAAAAATAGCATAGTGGATACTAACATCTATGTGCCCCCTCCCCCACTACATGATCATGCATTAAACTTTCTGAAGTAAATGAACATTTAAATTTTTTATTTTTATTTTTTACATATTTTTATCCAATACAAAGTGGTCAGCCCTGAAACCATATACACACAAACAGTAAAAACAGACTCAGCAGGTTGTATTTGTATATTTGTACATGCTTACACATATACATACATACACATTATATGTAAACAATACTAAAGGAACCCTTTTTTGAGAACATTACTAGGTTTTGTAGTTATAGAGATGTAAGAGATGTTACTGGATATGTAAAATCAGCTTATGCTTCTGGGTATGTATATTATAAGTTCAAATCTCTTTTGTGATGCTAGGACTAGAACACAGAATGCTAGTCAGGCACTCTACCCCTGCTGTGCCTCCAGCCCTCCAGTATCCTTTTTCTGAGCCTGGTCTTACTAGCTCTTGAAACTTTTAGTTTTTTACTAGAAGGAATTGAATATAAATACACAGCCTACAGAAATAACTGAGATGCATTATGTTTTCATAATGTTGTGGAGTATAAGCCTATGTGGTTTAAAGTTAGATCAAACTATTAATCAACCTGTAAGACTTTTTTAAAAATGAGTTGCCTGTAATTTCCTTACCATTGAAAAGTGATGTTTAAAATTTTGTTAGGTTGTATAATAAGAGTTGACAGGCACCCCATGGGTTTTGTGTTTTGTGTTGGGTAATTGGGTCAGCCTTGAGGGATTGAAGCAAGGAGAAATTGTCTCAATTAGAAAGAATGTTTGGAGACTAAGCAGTGTCATGGCAACTTACATACTGCAGTCAACAGTGGAAGAAATTCATTTTCCACTGCTGCTGACTTTGAAACAGGAAAAAAGGCTTACTACATAGTTACTACACTGACATGATGAGAAATATTTTTGGATTGCAAGGTCTCTGTTTAAATCATTTGGAAAGAAATGCTTTTCTCCTTATTATTTGTATGCTGCATTCAATAGCTAAGCAAATTATTCGATGTATATGTATTCAAACACTAAGGAAGAGCCGAAATTATTATTCTTGCCCTCCAAGAGTTTACTATCTCTTTAGAGTGAAAACAGGAAATACTGAAGCAAAAATGAGGTGAGGATGAATGGCACAGAAAAGTAGTTTTCAATTTCCAGTTATTCATGCTAAAACTCCTAAATAATAGAAATAAGAACTAGTTCTCTTGGCCAGACATGGTGGTACACACCAATAATTCTAGCAACTCAGGAAGATCGGTGCTTGTGAGTTCTGGGTTTCAGGCTGCCCTGTGTGAGTGTGGTCATTGTGAGACTGAGATCTTGACTCCTTAGAAAGACAAAAATGGTTCTCTAAATGATGACCTAAGTATGAAAATTGTGATTTCAGTATGAAGAACGCAGTTGTATTTGTCTCATCAGAAATAGTACTTATTAAAGCCAAAGCCTTAGACCAGAAATTCAAGTGTCTGCTGTGCAACTTTGGGTAAAGCAGCCAATTTGTGCATTTCAGGTTTCTTAGCTATAAAGTTGGCTAGTGCTAAAGAGTTCTGCACAATTTAGCAAGATGAGAGTCTATCCTGAAGAAGAGATATTAATTTTTTTAAGAAGAGACATTAGACAGTAATGATAATCTCCAGAGATATCCTTTGAGCATAACTTAAAAGAGATCAGAATTTTCATCACTAGAAGGGGTGACTTTGTGGGGAACCAATATCTATGTTAGAACCTTCAGAGGTTGGATGGGTGACCTGCTAAAAAGAAGTATGTGAAGTGGGTAGGAAGCTAGATGCTATTTTCATCATCTTCTAAGTATATGAGATAATTTAGTTGTCCATTGATGTGAACTAAACCATTCCAAACTTAATACCTTCAAACACTGGCAAATACTGATTTTGTTTATGACTCTGCCCTTTGTGTAGAGCTAAGCAGGGTCAACTCTATATGGCATCAACTATGGCAACTTGAGTAGGGACTGAAGGATCGCCTTCAGGATGCCTTAACCCCAAAGCTGGCTGTCAGGTTGATAATAGCCATTCAGTTGGGAGCTCAACTGAGACTGAAGGCCAAGCACTCTCCACGTGTAGTCTGGGCTTCTTCACAAGGCCAACAGCTCCAAGGATCAGTGACTCCTGTGAGACTAGTAGATGCTACATCGTTTTCCCCAAAATCACTGTTTCTGATTTCAGTTTTCATTACATATATAAGATTTTTTATTTGACAATTATATGTATATGTGAGTATCTGAGTGTGGGTTTGTACACATGAGTGTGGTGCCTGTATAGAGCAGAATCAGATCCTCTGGAGCTGAAGTTTCATTCAGTTATGAACTACCTGACATATGTGCTGGGAACTTAGGACCTCTGCATGAACTCTTAATGACTGAGCTATCTCACCAGCCCTTCATTACATATATTTTAAGATCTAAGAGAAAACATTTAATGTACATATTAAAACTTAAATAATTATCTGTTAAGAGCTGTTTTTTAACAAGACCCCTTTTTTTGTAAACTGGATTTCCATTAAATTGAACAAATTCCATTACTATATCTTAGAATATCATTACTGAAGTTAACTATGGAAATGAAATTTAATGAAAATTTTGCTTGCTGCTCTGTAAAGGAATAAAATGTTCACTGTTGTTTTCTGTTAGGAAAATAATACTTAATATCTGTTGGTACTAATATCAGATTAACTCCAGCTTCTGCTACATCGTAAGTTTGAGGCCAGCATGAGCTATAGGTAATAAATATAAATATAAACTATGGTCACTTCATCAAGGCTCTTGTGTTAAAATACTTTAGATTACAACCTATGAATGCTTATAATTTTAGATATTTTAAGAACTAGTAACTTTTACAAAATTATTAAGGTTCTGAACTTCAGATTAATTTTTGTTTTGAAGAACTTTTAGAAATTTCTGAGAAAATATAGTAACACAAATCCTAAGATACGCCTTTGAATATTGGTTGACAATCCAAATAATTTTATACTGTAAAGTTACCTATAGAATCTTTAGCTATAATTAATCTTTAGGATTAATTTCTCATGAGCTAGTAAAAAATGGAATGTCTAGGGGAAAACTAAGAATAGTAAATTACATTGAACTCATCAACATCGGGAGCTGTTATAGAATGAGTATTAATCAAAAATT